GCGACAAAGCTAGCAGTTCATGTTGTAACTCAAAGATGCCAAATTAATGCCTCAAGCGCAGCGTAAATCCGTCTGATTAACTGCCAGTTTCCTTAAGGAATGGGATTCACCTCACTGCGCTTGGCGCATTCAGTTGAGACACGCGTGGTAAATAAATGACCTGCGAATAGTAGGGGCGGCACCACAGTCTAGAATGGCGTGGCTACACCGAAGCGTCCAAAATATACAGTGGTGTCATATGATCCATGGACCTTAGGGTTGCAGTCCGGACCCACCTAATAGTTGAAGGAAATCAATACAAGGCGAACGCAGTAAGGCTTCAAAGACGATTGCTGAGTATATGACAGACAAACATTATTTAAATATTGCAACATAGTAGTAGAAATGGGGTGCAACCGCTGGTGTTTGAGCCTACGTCGAATATTTTCTTAATAAGGATAACAACAAGAGGGGAAAGAGGAAGTTAAGATGACATAATGAAAAGGTGAGAAAGATTCTAATCAGGACAAAAAGAAACAGCAAGTGAAGCAAAAGAAAATAAGAATGATCATTATCATGATTGTCATCACTGTTTTCATCAAATGATTTGAAAAGAATAAGAAAACGATGTTAGTTTTCATTTTCAATCATCCAAAGAAGATACGCTTAAATTTCGATACCGTTATGAAAAAAAAAACAGAGCAAGGCGGATACGGAAGCAGAAAGGTCAAGGTTCGAGTGATGGATTATATATTTAAACTAAGATAGTGTTTGTATGGTGGTTACTAGAAAAGAGTCCCTGGTAAAAGAGAATCAGAACTATAGATCTTTGTCGAAAGCTATCATCAGAAGGAGATGCAGCAACTGCCTTTTCTACACCGGCCTTGTTTAACTGGTGCATTAAAAATTTTTTTAGAATCAACAAATCTGAGTTCGATACAGGCCTACGCCCATACAATGCAGATGTTAAACTACCATGGGGCCGTGGCATGCTAACGCGGTTACGTAAGCTACTTGAAACAAGAGGACGGTCAGGCTACGCCGCATAACTCCAAAAAAGTGACAGGAGATTACTGGGCTTAACGAAAAACTAATTACTGAACTCTTCGACCTGAATCGTTGAAAACTTTGCAGGTATTGTCACTTAGATAACTCGCGAACATTTGCTTCTGCCGTTCCAGATGTCCAGTGATAAAACATATCATACAAAGCTCTTTAGGAACTTAATTAAAAGGGTACTTGAACCTGTGTTAACACTAATTATAAAATATGAACTTAAATATTTACAAACTATCTATACATGCCTTAGTTTGGCCTGCTTTTCGAACATAGATACGAGCGAGTCTCTAATCTGATACTTCCGAGAAAGAAGCGATTCGTTCGACTGGCACAGTGACGCAATATTCTTTCGGATGTCCATTTTGAAAGAATCGAACGCTTCAGCAGGAAATACTGGTTCGTCGGCTTTGACGGTCGTTTCGTTCTCGACTGTGCTCTTCGACTCAGAAGGGACAGAAGCGGGCACCGGCGTAGGTTTCTTTTGCTTAGCGGCGGCGGGCTGCGATACATGATGTCCCTGCTGTTCTTTATGAGTCTGTTTAACTATCGTAGCTGCATGTGTTTTTGCGGTTGGAGTCTAAAAATCGGCATGTTATTAAGTGTTGCATAAGAAAGCCTTTCTCTTTTCGGTCTGCCTGTAAAGTCAATACTCCGTTCAGTTTGCAGCGACAGCGGCTTCCGGCAAATTAAAATTGGGTCCTTACTTTCGCATGACACCTGAGTACTTATGGTCACAGATTACGACCTATAAGTGGAGCACCTGGATAGGAAAAATAAAATGCACTCGTTGTTAGACACACTTCCAAAGACAACTGCTACTTACTGTGGCACAGAACTGTGGAATCGCCGCGTCGATTCCGACGCAAGACAACATTTGTCATAGCAAAGAATTCTCACGAGGAAGGAATCTGCCGTTGATTACTTCTGACTGATGTTGCTCAGCTGATAAAGCGTCAGACTCTGGACCGAGAGGTCCGGAGTTCTGACCCTAGTCGGGGTTACTCGTTTATCTTACTTCCGAGGATAATGAGTATCACATTAAGGGAATGAAGCAGAAGACTGTAAAATATGCTTTGTTGTCGACACACAGTTGTTATCCATTCTGCCTCTATCACAAGACACTTCTGACTGATAGGACGAAGATGAAGATCATCGCCCCGCCATTAGTATCATGAAAAACGAACGCCAGAAGTCATGAAATTATAAATAAAGGCGACATTTAGATGACTACATGGAAGGATTCATAATCTGGCCATATAATAAGTGCATATACCTGCATTCAAGTCATGGTCCGCTGACTTGGCTTGAACTCTGGCATGCAAACCATTGTTCCACTGGAATCTATTATGGCGCAGCCTTCCGCAGCCACTATTCATGTGTACAGCCTCTATCGCATACCCGAGCGTATAAGAATCGGCTTGAATCAATAAATGAATATTTTACTGCTTAAATGAGTATCATTTTACAGCATCACGGACAGGAAAATTTTAAATTCTTGTTGGAAAGTCCGATGCTTCGTTGAAGAGAACAACTACTAATGTCATTACGCTCATCTGCTTGGACCTATTTCGGGGAATTCTACTTCAACAAATAGGTCATGCTGTTTACTTTCAGTGATAGACATTCCAATTCATTAAGCTGCACTTTCTTTTTAGCTGCCCTTGTGGAATTTTTCATGACTATGTGATGTTAAGTTTCACCACTGATCTATTAGCATAGCTACCTGATGACAAGATTGGTAGAAAAAAGGATGTGATGACCAGCGGACTGTAAAATACGACCAAAGGGAATAAAAGTGGGACAAATGTGCTTTACTATTTTGGGACTTAATGCAACATTTCACTAAATTTGACAGCTGAGAGGAAAGAATGACAAAGAGGGTAGAAAGATGACATGCTTGGTGAAGAAAAACGACATTCAATCAATCAAAAGAGCTTACTGTCTAAATTGGTGAAAACAGCACGTAAGACTAGCATGCACCAAACTTTCAGCAATATTTCAACAAAAAAATTGTCTGAAAAAATACACTACTTAGGAGTGACACAATATATAGTGATGTGAAAATAAATCATAGTTGTATAAATTTCTTTCTACAGGAGATTATAGCAGCTGCTCAAGTACTATAGAGCCGTGGTCTACCTCAACATATTATTCCACCCTCCTGCGTTCAGTTGCCCAGGGGAAGAGGGTGTCTGAGATATGGTATTAGAGGAATTTTCTATTATAAAAATGTATTTTTGATATGTTTCTTGCTACGCCATAACCTTCAGGGTTGTGGAACGCCTGCAATCGAGTCGTGAACATTATTACGTTTCTGATGCAATACAAAGATTGATACATCATTTGTCTCACTGTTAAAGGCCCATAAAACAGCTACAAAAATATCATCTGTCGTTCAGAAGTAAGACCAGATGTATATGCGTTCATGAACAATATTCCTTGACTGGATTTTTCTTGTCCATTTCATCATCTGCATATGAAAATTGACGTCCATTCAGTGACAAGTTAGATGCTGTTAGATACTGATCTTTCTTGTTTTTATCACGCCCTTAATCATAGATACAAAAAACTTATTGGGTTTCAGTCATCAAATGCACGTTATTAGCATATACATTTGTCAACAGCATGAAAGTTTCAGTCAAGAAGCTGATAAATTAAAAACTTTGAAGCTTCCTCTCATATACTTCTACTATACCTTCCAAGATGCCTTCATTAGACGTGAAACGTGTATGATTATGTTGCGCGTCTCTTCGTACTGTCGGAGAGATGGATTAACGTTGGCGATAATCACTGTATGAGAGCTGTTTGTTAAGGGATCCTTCAGAAGGTGGGTCAATTTGCTCTCTCGGTAATTAATGTACTTCGAGTCCCGTTCTAAATTCGCAACAAATGAATCATAGTTTATGACATACAAAAGAAATAATTACCAAGTGAGGCAAAGACGTTATTCAGCGCTAGTAGCGAACGATTAATCTTGCCACCTTCTTTCAGGCGTATTCCCATGTGCTAAACGTAGAGATTTTGTAAATTTTAGGGTTATAAATAAACCATTGTTGAATTCGTTCCATCTGAGTGTCAAAGTGAAACGCTATTGATTTAGAGAAAAACGCTTCAATGGAATAAAGAGGCAAAATTTCCAGAGCTGCGTAAACCAACGGTCAGAGGCTTATGACGGCTTTCATGACTGTTTTGGCGCCATTGGCATGCAATGCACCATATATCGAGCTGTCATGTGATTTCTCTGTTTGGTCATACTGCGCCATTCACAAGTGGACTTTGGGTTAATTATGAAAAGAGCAAAATAGACTAATTTTAAATTAAACAAAGGCTTTCAAACATTACATAAGCCCACTAAATAAAAGCAAGTATATTTACCACAGAACTTTAGGAACCCTGGGATGGTGTTTCTCTTTTATGACAACAAATTACAAATAAGTGTTTTCTCGGCTCATGAACGTTATTGTAAACGTTGTTCATTCTCATTGATTCAGTTATATCATTCACAATTGACACTGAAATATTTCATATATTCATGAAGTATTAAGAATAACTTCGGTGATGCGGTTGATCAGATTGTAGACACGATCAAGTCATACTTTGTGCTTTTGCATTCACGTAGCCGCGGCCACTTTAACGAAAGCATTCCATTTTCGATATTCACTTGTCCTGCATAAATTTCTTTTAATAATCTCTGTTTGAGCAGGCACTGAGGCTTCGCTGATCCTCAAGATGGGGTTTTTTCAATGGGTTGAACAAGATCTTATGAAGATCTGAAATCTGTTCGGTGTTTTGTCCAGCTGTCAGTCTGATAGTTTAATACCGGCTCTCACTTTAGTTCGAAGAATTTTTTCCACAAAACTTTTATGTTAAAGAACTCACCATTATCACCGCTGATTCATTTCAGAAACGGAGAGGATTGGATCATTGAAGAATCCAATTCTTTGTATGCGCATTACATTCTTCGCGAAATTCAGGGATTTGTCCAGATTCATATAATATAACATTTTCTTCTGTGTTCACTTTCAATACACATAAAAGCGCTTAATGATGACAGAGAAATAAGGATAATATTACACAAGATAATGAAGAAATCGACACCTAAAAGACTGAAAAATATACTTAACCATTGAAGCTTACAGAACCCAGAACACTGTTCCTTCTTCATCACTAATTAACAGAGAATATGTCGGAGAAACAACTTTGCGAAAGAGATTTTAATAACTGTCGAAAGATTTACTTTAGCTTGACATAACGACGTGTTAGAGTTGATCTGAAGAAACACATGACAGATTTCGGTCAAGGATATTCTGCAACTATAAAACATGCTATTGATAATCTACACCGTGCTGACTGCAATAAACATAAAATTTTATGACGGGTCAACTCGCGAATGCACTTTCTTTAGAGCATTTGGTGTAGCATGTGTAAACAATGAATTGGGTTATATAACTTTTTACTTTATAAGAATCTTAAACTCAACGATTTAATTAATATGATTTAATCCTATTTTATTAATTTTATTTATTTATTTCAGGTTTTACTTCTTTTACTGTTTTATTTCTGTTGCCTTCCATTCTATCCAAGCCTTGCTTCCTGCTTATGTTACCTTCGTTATAATGTTATAATACCTGCTGATCTTTGTTATCTGTGACTGTGACATGTGTGCGCTATTACTTTGCGCTTCGAAAAGAACATTTGGATTTCGGAAGCGTCATTTATTAAATATCTTTCCCATGGCTTCCAAAAGTCTGTTTCTTTATCTGTCCTACTAGCAGTAGCC